ACCTGTCTCCCCAGAGTGGCGTAATTACACGGCCAATCATGATATCGCGCGGCATGCATTTTGACGAGGTGGGTTCAACCACTACTTCCCACTACTTCCAGGTGACATAGGGACATTTTGGGCAGCTTACCCCATACAAGATGTTCTTGTCTTGCCAACAGAGTGACCGACTGTTGGAGCTTTACTGTGCCAATCTTTTCTGGGAATTCCTCCCCCCTCCACCTGGATGAGTTGGCCATTAAGTCCAGAAATTCTTCACACTCTGGGAGAACATTACCACTGGAGACAAGACGCCAATAATCAGAAGTTATTTTCAGCTGGTGCATGACAAATCTGATAACATTGGTACCTATGATTAAGTCATCACATTGGCCTTGCACAACAAGAATGGGGACCATGCAGACTTCTCCATACACTTTCAGCTCAACTTCATACATGCACTTTGGCTTACTGAGTTTTCCACCACAGCCCACAAGGACAATTTCTTGAGTCAAAGGAATAGGATTTAATAAAGCATTATCACTTAACATCCTTAGTTCTGCTTGCTCGCTTAGGGTGCAGGCCATGGAGCCCGAATCTAACATCCCCTTCATGTGAAACTTGTTATTGATGCTTACAGGGGTGTAGAACATTTCTTCAAAAGGGCCAAGCCTCTGTGTATTCTGCACTATTACCTTTGCATTAACTGGGGCAGCAGCGCAGGCTTTAATGTACTGCTGTTCAATGTCATCTTTGTTGAAGGTTTCACCAATAGTGCCCACACATCCCCTCCCCAAATGTGGACTACTTAGTTTAAAGGTTGGGGATTTGACGTCTGAGGGCTGATCTGACCTTGACCAGGCCGGCAATGGGGACAGTCTCTGTTGATGTGGTTTGACTCAAAACAAGACAGACATAGGCGTTTCTGCCTGCAGTGAGCATGGGTAGAATGCTCAAATGACTGACAGACTCTACAGGATCTTTGGTGCGTTTGGCCTTGATGCCATGATTTATCTGTAGCCATAGCATTTTGTGAAAGAGCCCAATCAAAGAGACTGATGAGGGTTTTCATGCAGCTCTCATTAGTGGAGTGCTGGCTTGCTGCGCTTACGTCAACCTGTGTAGTAGACTCTCTGGACTGAGAGGTTGGTGAACAACTATCTGGTGCAGGGATCTGAATGTTGGCTGTTACACGTGTAGGGTTCTTTAACTTGGAGAAATTCTGTTCCTTAGTTTCAATCTGGTATTGATCTATCTGTTCTTGAATATCGCTCACAGTCCACTTATTGGGAGCTTTAAACTTGAAAACTGCTGCGAGTGAGGGATCTGGGCAGTGTTTGACGAACATCATTGCAACTTCTTGACATGGGTTGTCCAAATGTCGTCCCAGTCTTTTTAAACCATCCTCTGCTGCATCTACTGCCTTATTAAGCCGAATCCAGTACTCTAAAGGGGTTTCGCCCTTTGTTGGGACTGTACTATAAAGGTCCGCCATGGGCATGCATGAATAACTCCCCCCACCAAAATGTCTGCCGAGGATGTCATAAATCACCTCTGGATTCTCTAGTGGCCTCAGTGAGGGGCTGCTTCTGAGAGTGATTTTTACAATGTCTTTAGCTTTTCCCATTAACTTAGACAGTATCTCGGAATGTTGCTCAGCTATTGGAGTGGCTTGTTTTTTGAGGCAGGTTTTCATCATCTCTTCCCATTCGCCTAGCGTGATCTTGTCTGACCCATCCCCCCTGAAGACTGGAGGCTCTTTAACATCTGACTGTAAAACTAACTTGGCTCCGGTTAGGTTGAGGTATGCTGAGCAGTGTTGGGCAAGTTACTTCAAAACTGTAATACATTATTTATTACTTGTTACCCTCATTTTAAAGTAATTCATTACATTACAATATTACTGATTTTAAAATGTAAGGCATTACACTGCTTTTGCATTACTCTAAGTTACTTTCAACAAAACAACTTCAGTATGAGTTTGGTAATCTGATGCCTGGTGAACTCATGACACATCCGGTGGAAGGTGATGTGGTGTCTGAGCTAGGATTGCTGTTAGAAACAGTTCTTTAGAAGGATTGTTTATTAAATAAAAGCAACAACAAACTGTACTCTCAGCACGATGCCATCTTAGATTAACTGAGCGGCGAGTGAGGTGGTGGGGGCTCCAAGCCTATATTTGCCTTGGTCCCCAAATGCCTTGATACGGCCCTGGATGTGGGACTGGCTTCTGGGGTGATCTGATTCTATCACATGTATAAATATTAAATGCTTATATATGGTTGCTTTTCACTGGTAAAAATGAGTATTGGGGATAAATCTGCCTACTTTTTGTCTTTTCAAGCACTTTGTTTTGTTTTCTTGATTTTATTTGAATAATTTCCTGCCCTTTCTCTCTCTAACCGTCCTGCATGCTGCATGTTTTCTCCGTCTTCCAGAAAAACTGTTTCCTAGACTTCCTACTTTCTAACTATCAGCCAAAGGGATCTTCACATGCGCGGTGCTCCAGCAGCAATGAGTTAAAATCACCGGGGCACAGATTAACTCAGATGAGGCAAAGCACGTCAGAAAAGTACAGAATACCAGAGAACATGCGCTGATATGAACGATCGCAGGTGAATTATTTTGTTTTAGTGGAGCGATTTTGTGAATGTTACAGCGACCGCGTGCAGGATGCAGCTGGAGTATTTGAGCCGGTACCGCTACGTCCTCTCTGTCCGCAAAGCTGAGTCCATAAATGACGTCATATATGCAGATACTGGATCTTTTTTCGTGTTTCCCGCAATTTGAATTTTTAAGAAACACATCTTGAATCTGGGTTTAAAATGCATTGTAATTACCACGTTACTGACAATTGTACCGAGTAAATATTACCATTTTCTTTCCCTGTAATGCCTTACATTACCACATTACAACAAAAGCAATGCATTACAGTAATTAATTACTTCTGTACCGCATTACTCCCAACACTGATGCTGAGTCACTAAATGAGTGGGCAGCACTGCTCTGAGCTTCTGCACCCATAACACCACTCCCTCTACATTCCTCCTTTAACTGATCCCTTATAGTTTGTCCCACCTGCTGTGCAATGAGTGTTATCAGATCATCTAGAGCTGGGTCATTTGCAGTTGTGGTGTCAGGGAGTGTGTTGCTAGGCTGGGGACTACAAAATGTAAAGTTGGGCATGCGAGTAGAACAGAAAGCTGGAGAACCAGCAACATTTACAAGTCCATTTGGTGTGGCAACAGGCCTACCCCTCCCAAACCCAAAGTTAAAACTGTTAAATGAACCTTCCCCATCCATTTTTCAAAAAAAAAGAAGGGAAATTTTTTTTCTATACACTAGAAGAGAAAGAAAATAGGAATAACACTGGGAATTCTAAATTACATCATGGGTAAATATTTAACAAAATAATGTTAATAACCTTCTTATGTTTTTTTTCTTTCTTTTCCTCTGAACCAGTGAAAATAATAGTTTTACACATTAACTTGTGAGACAAAGCAACCTCTGATGACCATGCTGATGTTGATCCACCACACCAGGGACCACGACGACGACAGCCTGGAGCGGGTTGGATCCGGGTCACGGCACCACTGTGACCGGCCTGTCTTGACCTTCTGGTCTCACAAAGTAGATTTCTGCGTTGTGTTGTGCAAAGGAATGAGACAGCGACCACTGGAGCAAGATTTATTCGATGCCAGCTGTGCAAAATAAAATAACATCAGTACAGCACCTGGACTGGTTATGACACACACCTCTCTCCTCAGGATGGTCTCCCGCCGTCTGAGGGGAGTACCGGGAAAACCACAGGAAGTGGCTGCAATACCGGAAGTTGCCGAAATGAAGCGTTTTTCAAAATAAAATACAAAAACTCTTCAAATAAATATCGAGGCAGTTAAGCAACTTGATAAAATGAACACAATGACTGAGGATGGACTTTTGGTGAATTATTAGTATCAACAGAACACCTCTGTTACATAAAGATTAAACTGTTAAACTTGGCAAACTGAAATAACAGGTGATTAGACATTTAAGCTGTCCAGATTTTTATACAATTGTGGCAAGGTGGAGAAACAAGGGCCTGGGCGGGATTCGATCCCCAGACTCCCGGGTGAGAGTCATACGCTCTAACCAGTCAGCCAAAGGGACATCCCCTTGGCCAAGTAGCCAGGGCGCATGATCAATCGGGACCTTGTGACAGGACACACACTGCCACACAATGTTCACAGATGTACGTTTTTTTTGCTATTTAGCAAGGGCGTAGGAACGAGTTTAATATTGGGGGGACACATTTTGGAAATCTAACAAATCTGTTGTAGGTCAATATATACCGTAGGTCAACTTCACTGAAAAAAATACATTAAATGATTATTTCTGATTCTAACGTGTCACTGAGTGCAGGCTGAACATGAACATAGTCTCCTGCCGCTATCTCCTGCATTAGCTTCTGATAGAAAATCTGATAGACGGTAAAACTCTAGGATTAGAAAAGTCTGACAGATGTGACTCAGGGCGTAAGGCAAAGCCCAGAAAGACAAGAAAATAACTTTTATAGCCCAGTTCACTAACATTCTGTTTTTTTTTTTTTGATCGGGGACCCATGAGCCAGCCAGAAGAGGAGGAGACTTAGGCTCCTTTTGACACTGTAGACCACAACGCTCTACTAAACAGGTTAAAGGCCCTGGCTGGGATTTCAGGTTCTGCTCTAGACTGGCTCTCTTCTTATCTCGCCAACAGAACATTCACAGTGAAGTCCGAAAACTTCTCTTCAGATACTGCCTCTCTAACATGCGGGGTCCCACAAGGTTCAGTTCTAGGGCCTCTACTATTCGCATTCTATGGCTGTGTCTCAATTCAGGGTCTGCATCCTACGTCGGCCGGATTCGTCGGCCGGTTACGTCACAGCGCCGCGACTCGGCCTGTCCCAATTCGAAGACTCCTTCAAATGCGGTCGACGAATGCGGCCTTCTTTTAGCCTGAATGAAGGATGGGTCTGGTGTATCCTTCAATGGGTAGCATTTCCCAAGATGCCTTGCGGGCCGGCTGGCAGAAAAACTTAAAAACAATGGCGGACAGTGAAGCGGGAGCTGTCGGAGAGGATTGCGCATATACATGTCAGTATAAACTTGAAAACTGTTAGGTTAAGGACTTTTTGTGATACATGAACGTTATTTTAGTTAGAAATGTTACAGTAAAAGTGCTTGTATTGCGGTCTCGGCTCGTATGTTCGGCCGCTCGGTGTCGTACTTCTCCCGCTACGATTTCCCCCTGATTTTAATAGAAGTTTGTATTTTAGGAACAAAAGAGAAAACCAGGGAATTTATTAAGCTTAGGGCGGAGATGGACCACATGATCACTGGAGCAAAGTATTCGGCGGCTGTGGCATGGAGGTACAATAACATCTCATATTTTAAAAACTCATTTGAGTTTATTTTTTCTGCGAAAACATGAAAGGAATAACCCGTTGTCCTCTTTTCTCTTCCTGTTTCTTTTCTTACATGTTTGTTAAGACTATTCTGGAGAAAATGGGCATCCAGGGGAAGGTGCCAGCGATGACCAGCTTCTGGAGCTGATCAGGGAGGACATGAGGCTGCAGAGGGAGGCAGAGCAACAGAGGGCACAGGAGAGAAGGAAGAGCTTTGACAGCTTTTTACTTTGCTAGAAAAAAATGGTTAAGGAAGATTAAACATGTACATATAAAAGAAATATCTAAATAAAATCTGTTGTGCATTAAACTCTTGAATTTTATTTTTGTTTACAAATGAGAATTGTTTACTAGAGGGTATTTGCTGGGTCTTGAAAAGTCTTAAAAGGTGATAAATCGGTTTTGGTCAAATTAAGACCCTTAGAAAGTATTAAAAACTATTATCACATCTTTGCTCAGGCTCAGCTTGTCTAAAGTATTTTCTCTGAATTAGCTCTCCAACAGTCAAGGAAATGATTAACCCCCAGAGACCCACGGTTGTAATATTACAACATCAGATTTAAGTCTACAAGAATAAACCTTCCCCATTTTTTTTCTTTTTAAAACCACATTTACATTGCTAATAGGTCCTATTGTTCAGTTCTGCAACACTATTGGCTGTTAAAATGTGTAAATAGGCCCGTTTATCTGGCCTCCTAGAACAACATGTGAAAGGTTAAAAAAAGATTTTGCAGTTGTTTTCTAAATTTGGGTTTCTGAGGGTTAAAAAGCTAAATAAAACGTCCAGCTCCATCGTTTAAAGTTCCTTCTCCCTTCTGCCCAGCGGTTCCACGGTTGCTAGGCGACGGAACGTTCGCGGAGGGAGTTCATGAAGGCTAGTCCTGTCCAAATTCACAGCCGTTAACATCCGGTCTACCCGGCCAACGGAGGACGCAGCCCACGTCGGCCGGGTGGGCTGGGTCCTTCGAAGGATGCAGACCCTGAATTGAGACACAGCCTATATTCTTCCCCTAGCTTGCATCATTCAGTCTTTCCCAGACATCTCCTACCACATCTATGCTGATGATATTCAGCTCTATATGTCCTTTATTCCACACCAGTTGGACAGGCTGGCCACACTTGTACTCTGCCTGACCCAGATCAGTAACTGGCTGTCCAGCAACTTTCTTGTCCTCAATGCTAACAAGACAGAGACCCTGATCGCTGCACCCCTGATCGAGCAAGAAATTGCCTCCTTCTGCCCATCAGCCAAGGCCAACATTAGGAACCTGGGAGTTATTTTTGATCCAGTTTTAAGTTTAGACTCACACGTCAAAACCATCTCCTGCTCTTGTTTCTTTCAAATGAGAAACATTTCAAAAGTCCGTAAACTGGTTTCTACTGCAGATCTGGAAAAAAATCATCCATGTCTTTGTGTCATCACGCTTAGACTACTGTAACGCTCTTTTTACTGGTCTCAACAAAACCTCCCTCTCACGCCTTCAAGCCATCCAAAATGCAGCAGCCAGACTCCTAACCAAATCCAGCAGACAAGCTCACATCACTCCAGGTTTACAGTCCCTCCACTGGCTCCCAGTAGAATATAGAATACAGTTTAAAGTTTTAGTCCTGACCTATAGAGCTCTTAACAACCAGGCTCCAAGCTACCTATCTGAGCTTTTATCCCCACACACCACCTCTCGGAACCTTAGATCCACATCTGAACACCTCCTGGCTGTTCCTCGAACCAGACTGAAAACCAAAGGGGACAGGGCCTTTCAGACTATTGCACCCAGACTTTGGAACAATCTACCTTCAAATCTCCGTCTTTCTAACACTGTAGAGGTCTTTAAAAATCATCTAAAAACTCACCTTTTCATCCAGGCGTTCCCTCCCTAAATGTTTCAGAATGATGGCTTTGTTCGGGTTCACACCTTCACTTTGTTTATACTCATGATTTTATTTTCTACGTTTATCACTGCTATTGTTTTTCTGATGTTTTTATTGGTTAGAGGTTGCCCTGATCTTTATCATGTTGTACAGTACTTTGTGATTTATAGCTGTGAAAGGCGCTCTATAAATAAACTTTTATTTACTTACTTACTTTCACTTACTTACTTACTCCCCATTAGCCGGATCCAGGTGATTACCGGCCAACGTGGACGTTTTAATTATAAAAAAGCTGTTTATGTGTCAGGAGTGTTTTATTTTTATTTAATAATATGAATGTAGGATATATTTTAATAATATGAATGTAGGATATATTTTATTAATAATATGAATGTAGGATATATTTTAATAATATGAATGTAGGATATATTTTAATAATATGAATGTAGGATATATTTTAATAATATGAATGTAGGATATATTATCTTATTCCTATGGGTAGAGATGTGTAAACAGATTTAATACAAGACTAAAGCTGTGAATATTCAGTCTGAATTGATCTGACTCTCATCAGAATATTTTAAACTACACCAGCCAACAATGCTGACCAACAATCAGAAAATTCTGTTTGTTTCTGACAGAATGAAAAAAGAAATAATTCACTTACAACAACAACTGGAACTACGTTAATTTTCAGATGGACAAAAGAAACAAACAGTGGCCAAAATTGCAGTCTAAATGCACCAGAAAGCAGAGTTTAACACTTATTTTTCTAATATTTCTAAGGAAGCGTATACAGAATGTAATTTATTCTTAAACCGTACTGCCCAGCCCTACTTGTAATGGGATTACATATATTTAACTGTGTTCACTTATTATTACATTCAAATCTTCCTCTCATCAGCAACCTAAAATCATCTCACTCTTCACTGTAGCGCCTACCTGCACCTCAGCAGGTCTGGTGCTCCCTGTCTCACCCTCAGCAGGTCTGGCGCTCCCTGTCTCACCCTCAGCAGGTCTGGTGCTCCCTGTCTCACCCTCAGCAGGTCTGGCTCTCCCTGCCTCACCCTCAGCAGGTCTGGCTCTCCCTGTCTCACCCTCAGCAGGTCTGGCGCAGGTCTGGTGCTCCCTGTCTCACCTTCTTCATCATTTCCTGCTGAACTTCCTCTGGCCTCATATGAAAAAAGTGACATGAATAAGGTTTAAAAATGAAATGTGATGAGAATGTCACAAACAAGCAACAATCACACTTACAAACTCCATTTTTATGTGGAGATTCAACTTTTTTATTTATTTTGTGTCAAATGGTTTTTGTCTCTTACTGTAAAATTAACCATTTTTTGTTGACTAGTAGTGTTGTTTAATGTTTAATGCTAACTAGCAAGATGTTTACGCTAGTCAGCCATTTCAGCGTTTGACCAGAAATACAATTATACTCTTGGACTAAATTATTACCAACTCACAATTCCTTTCTTTCTTTTTTTGCCCATGAGAAGAACTCGCTGAGCTGCTGCCGTCTGTCTCTGACACCTGTGTCTGCCCCGGCTCTGACTCCTGCTTCACTCAGCCAGCCTGTCTAACTCCCTGAGGGGAGGGGCTGTGTCGGAGAGAAGTCCGCGGTGTCTTTCAAAATAAAAGCTCGCGAGTCAAATATTTCAAAATCAATCGTTTTCTTCTCCATGTTATTGGGGGGGACAAATGCGCGTTTGTCAAATATTGGAGGGGACACGTCCCCCCCCCCCCCCCCCCCCGTCCCCCCCGGTTCCTACGCCCTTGCTATTTAGCATTATTTTTCTCTATTCTTCACTTACTTTTTGTGCTTTATTTGCTTGTTGGTGCTTTTTGCGTCTACATCTTTCAAGACATTCAGCTAAGTTTGACAGTTTTGCTTAATTTCAGCTTCAGTTCAGCTGTTCAGCGGCTTCAGCTTACAGTTTCAGCTATCCAGCATTCAAACAGCATTTGTGCAATAAATGCAAATTTTCTAGTTAAATGTTGCCTTGATGCAAGAAATTCACCTTATTTAAGATACAGTTTTATTGTTTTTTATTTTATTTAATTTCTAAATTAAAATCTGCCTAGATTCAGACATATATGCTGTGTGTGTGTGTGTGTGTGTGTGTGTGTGTGTGTGTGTGTGTGTAAGGGAGAGATATTTGTTATTTTCTTGACTTTTTGTTGTTTTTATTAAATTTTAACTATTTTCTACTCCTACTATATAACATATGTATACATGTATTATATATGTATGTGTCTAACAATAGAGTCGGATTTGATGCAGGAAAAGAAGCATAACTAAGTTTCTCTTCATTCCTACATTTTCCCTTTTTTTCTTGTATGCATACCTTTGGACTAACATAATTTATGTTTGTTTGTGTGTGTGTGCGTGCGTGCGTGTGTGTGTGTGTGTGTGTACCGGAGCACCCAGAGAAAGCCCCTGTGCAACACAAGGTCACACAGAACAGACTTCAACAGGTAACGTGTTTTCTGCCTGCTGACATGAACCTTGTTTTAGGCAGTGATGAAGCTCATGGACACACACTTGCAGAGCAACATG